AATTAGTGGCTGTTCAACCGTGAAACAAAGTTTGTATAATAATTGTTTTGATGTTTTGATGTTGATGTCTTCGATAATTTAATAGTTGTTGTGCTGGTTTGGTAAGTGTAAACATTTCAGTAGTAAAATTCCATGCCGTACTTTATGTTGTCAATTTTATTCATACTTCGAAATTTTTAAGTCATTCTTAACTCAATCTTAACTCGATAATTCACTTTAATGCAAGCTGGTATGCAAACCTTAAGTGGAGTTTTTATACTTCCTCAGTTAAGAAAGGCGAGGGCTTGCTTCATGCATGTATTTTCTAGTAATGTATGGATATACCCAACAAGATAGAGACTGGGGAGTGTAACCCCCCCCCCCCCTGTAGTTTCACTCTGGATGCTGTACTCGACTTATAAATTATATCGTTATTTGTAAATTTTGTGAGTGTACCGCAATAAATTTCCACCTGTAACTCGAGTATATTTGCAGCATTTATAAACCAAACAAGATAGCATTGTAATATGTATTCATATGGTTTTAATGTGCATTTTATTACCATGACAGTTTTTTTCATTTCTTAAATTATGTATTTTATAGGGGAACGTCTAGTAAAAGGAATGATCCTTTCTGTGTTGCCTATTCAAAAGTAGGTAATGTGAAGGCTATAATTGCAGCACCAATGCTTTGTTTGACTGCCACTGCCAGCAAAAAAGTTAGAAAAACGATTATAAACATGCTTAATATGGTGAATGTTATAACTGTGCATTTATCACCAGATAAGGAAAATGTGAAATATGTAGTGGAAAAGGCAAACATTGATTTGGATGAGACGTTTGGTTGGTTAATTAAGGACATTCTTACACATAGACAGCATACAGAGAAGACTGTTATTTTCTGTCAATCATTTAAAGAATGTGGAGATCTTTATGACACTTTTTTTAAGTAACTTGCCTGCTGGGAATGGCATAGCAATGTACCATGCCAGAACTCCACAAGGTATAAAAGACACTGTACTCTCAGATCTCATGAGCGTAAATGGTTTTATAAGGAGCGTAAATGGTTTTATAAGGATCGTAATTGCAACCAGTGCATTAGGTATGGGTGTTAGCATACCAAACATTAAAAGACTAATCAATTTTGGAGTGCAGAAAACATGGAAGACTATGCTCAAGCTATTGGTAGAGGTGGAAGAGATGGGTCAAATGTTGTAGGTATCATGTATTATTGCAGCTACCACTTACTTGATGTGATCCAATGATGAGAACATTTGTGAAGAACAAAACTAGTTGCAGACATGATGAAGTAATTTTTTTGGTGAGAAGTCTAAAAAACCTTCCATATTACTTCTCAAATTCATTAATAATTCATGAGCAATTCAGCCAATGATAATCACCTATTTGATCACAAGATACCATTTGGATACTTGATGAAAGTCACTGGTGTTTTCATCAAATATCTTAATTACGCATGCAAAATTACTTGAATAGAATTCCTAATTACGTTATGGTTGGTTAAGAATTCTATTCAAATCAGCAAACGAAAACATTCTGTTACGTCTCGATTCATTTGCGAAGCCATATAAACAACTTGAGCTTGTGTCTCACCGGGATATCCAAACACTCGAAAACAATGTATGAAAATGGTTTTCATGCATTGTTTTCTCGTGTTTGGATATCCCGGTGAAACATTCGCTCTCGTTGTTCATATATTACATCAATGTTGTGTGATATTTGTTCAGAGAAGTGAGACTGTGGTTCTTATCCTAAAGAAATATTCAGAGAGACTTTATCAAACAGTGCAAATAAAAATGCCACTTTTATTGGCACGTCACAGATAATGAAAGACTGACATTCTTTGCTTTACTAAAACATTTGCGTGTGGCATCAAATCAAAGTACTTCAGTTTTAGGAACAATATGTGTTTTCATGAAGCAAGTTCCTTAGATGATAACTTAATTGAATGTTTGACTGGAGATCTAGAACATCTGTTCAGTGTTGAATACATATTCCAAAACTTTAACATTGTAAGTGAAATACTTGCTGGAAAGATATTGGGTGTAGTCAATGACATTTTTAATGACCTTAAAGAGTCAGAGTTCTTTATGGAATTTGATGATTTGAAAATGAGGAACAATTCTTCTCGTCAGTGCCAGAGCAATCCCAAAGTGATATCAGTGAAGAATCAGAACTGAAAATGAACTGTAGTCAATACTGCGGATTCAGGTAGACCGTTTAATGCGAATAGTTGTCGCGTTAGTTTTAACGGTTGTACGATGACGTTTCTAGGCAGATTTTCGACGTTTCTAAGGCGTGGCTTCAACGTTTATTTTTAAAATTTGAACGTTGTAATTACAAGGTAATTGCTAAATAATAT